AAACAAGAAGTAGCGGGAGGTCCGCCAGCCTCCGCAGCTCTGGCTCTACTTTAGCATCTCCTCTCGGCTTTGCATCGCGGCCTACGGTGCTGCTTCCCACAAAAATAACCGGCACATAAAGCTCCCCAGGTAGGAGTCTGCCATTCCTAAAATTCTTCTTCCCTAGGAACCAAATCCCTCCGGCTTTGGGCACTTCAGCCTGCCCAGAAGGGCAGCAAATGGAACTGGAAGGGATCTAGAGAGGTCACTAACCCATCGCCTGCCCCAAGGCAGAGCAGCTAATAAGCAGTTTTGTTGGTCAGAGATCCAAATAGATAGAATTGTAAAGATTAAAAATAAACAAAAAAAAAGTTTAAATTTTCAATGGTTTGGTGGAGTTGTTAAAGCTCCGTGTTAACAGAATCACAAGGTTTAATATATTTCAAATTATGAAAGATTTTTGATGTAACACCTCTTATTAATCACTTTGCTGTAATTATATACCTGTAATAGCTACAAAAATGCAGTAATAGTTTTGGAGTAATATGAAGAATTACCCAGTTTTGATATTATTGATAATATAGTTATATTTACCTATGATATTGTTGCCAAACATTTATATGTTTTTTATTGCTGAAAGTCCTCTCCAGAAGGAAGTCATAACATGTGATTTTTAGTAGCCCTAAATTAATTCTGAAAAATGTCTCCCACTTTGATTATGTGTTTTAGCCAGTATTAAATATATATATATATACGCCTTCACAGACATACCTTTTTTTCAGACCTGAAACACAACTTTATGAACTGTTGTTTATACTGTGTAAGTGCAATATTAGAATTTGCTAGATACTTCCACCAAGTAATGCAAATAAGTTCTTCAGAAGGATATGCTTAATGGATATGTAAAGTTGTATCCATTTCTAAAAAGTATGTGCAATAGCAGTAGCTTTTTGTTGATTCGTCATTAGCCTATTAGGCCCAGTTATGTAAATTTTGATTTATTTTCAACCTCATTTATAGTCAGTTGAAGGCAATGCACAACTGAGTTGTAATGAACATTAGGAAAGGGTGTTACGGAAACTGATAGGGAAAAACTGCTTAAAGGAAAAGTCTTGTGTCAGAAAGTCTGTTCTTTACGGTACATACATCTCAAACAATTCCCTGGGTAGAGCAGGTGACACTGGCAAAAGCACTTGCTGGCAGTGCACCCAAGTACCAGGAATGTTGCAGGTTAAAATACAGAATTGCACCCCAAGGGAAGGTGCAGGACTAGCCATGGTGTCCCGGCTCTGAGGTGGACCCAGGCAGGACGACCCAGCACCATCCCCTCCGGCCCTGTCATCCTACATACACTTATCTCCCATTTCCACCTTTTTGTTTCCCACTGAGGACAAATGAAGTAATTAGAAATTGTCTTCAGGCAGCGGCAGGAGCAGAAGCAGGTAAGAAGTTTTCCCTGAGCCCTTTTCCTTTCCTGATGAGTGCCCCGGAGCGGCGGGCTGAGCTCTGCCCTTCCGAGCTGTCCCTGCAGTCCTGACACCTTCCCGGCCCTGCAGCAGCTGGGGAAGCACCAGAGCACCTCGGCCCCGCTGGGAGCCAGAGCCGTGTTTGATGGGCAGCTCTCCCCTTGCCAAAGCCCGGGCTCTGCATGTGCGCATCCTCATCCAAAACCTTTGCAGCAGTCCCCATGGGTGGAAACAGTGTGGGAGCAGGTAGTTAAAGCACATCTTAGTAATGCAAACACACACTTCTGCATATATATATATATTTTTGCTCTGGCATTTTTTAGCTTTTATGCTTCTCAACTCCCTTTCCACCTGTGGGGAGAGCAGCGCTCCTGCCAGGGACGTGTTGTTGCTGCGCGCTGCCAGCGCGGCTCCGTGGGCCCGCGTTGCTCAGCCGCTGCCAGCGCTGCGTGGCCTTTGTGCGGGAGTCACCGGCGCTGCCGACAGCGTCCCCGGACAGGGCCCGCGGCCTCCCCGCGGCCCGGCCCGCAAGCTGCTCCTCCTGGGCCGCCGCGTGGAGGGATTCCCAGCGCGGCTGCGTGCCAAAGCGCAGGAAATCGCATATAAAGAAGGAAAAAGTTAAGTGTTAAAACTATTAGCAGGTTTTGCGTTTGCAATCTTATTTATGTTTTTAAGCTGAGCACGCAAAACTGCACAAAATGCCTTTTCGGGTTGTATTCCGACCTAGCGCATGCATGAATTATGATTCAGATCATCAGATTAATGGCAGGATAATATACAGCTGTTTTCCGAGGTAGGGCCCTCGTCTTGGTTGCTGTGTGGAATACATCCAGTCTGAGGGTAAATGTGGACTATGTAGTGGAATAATTTCTCGGAAGACTAGCAGCTTGTTGAGGTGTTGGGAAATGGGGTTGGTAAAGAAGAGAGGGATTGCAGGGATTATGAGGGAGGGTCTCATAATTAACATCCATTAAGAGCGATATTTTGCAAAGTGTGTGATGTGTGTCTGTATCACTGAGCTCCACGATCCATGATCAGGTCACTTCAACCTCAATTTTTTGTTAATATACTCTTGTTTTGCATCCCTCACTCTCTGAATGCCTGGCTTAGGGTTCTTGCAGAAATACCGAGCCCTCATAGCTACAACCAGCATTAGTGTTTGGCCATACAAAGTGCTGCCTATTACTTAATATTTTGGAAAAGCAAGCTCTAAATGGCTCAAATTATGTTTCTAGAATTAGTAGCTACCTTTGACCTTGTTTATTGTCTGAATCCCTTATCTGTAAAATGGAGGTAACTTTGCTGTCTTAACTCACAAGAATATTAGGAAAATAATACAGTTGGTGCCCATGAAGCGTTCAGGTGCTACATACTGACATGTACCTTTGAAAAGCCATCCCCTCGTCAGAACAGTGTTTGAATACTGTACAATAAATATGTCAGAAAAGTTCAGGGTAAGCGAGCAATGACAGGAAAACAAACTACTGGATAGCTATCACTGAGTGAGCAGTGTGCAGGCTCATTCCTGAGTAAGATTAGGGTGTAAAAAGAGTACGTGTGTGTGTAACTAATCACTGCATCATAACAAATACATTTGAAAAAGCTTCATTCGGTCCCAACATCCAGTCTGAAGAGCTTTAATTTTGACTTTTCGCATCACAGGCTTCGCAAATTTATAAATGCTCTTCAAGTTTTGCTTTCGATTATACAATATCTATAGAGAACAACCACCAACTAAGAGGCTGCATGTGTGTCAAAGAGTTGTCCTCTTTTTAGCAACAGTTTAAATCCAGGCAGGTGTTGTAGCAGGGTTTACAGTCCTTGCTCACTGGTGCTGTGCGTTAGCCCGTGTGCAAGAGGAGTTTTCTGAGCCCCAGTTCCATTCGCTTTCCATCACCTTGCTCCGAATCCGCTTGGCAGACCTGGCAAAAAGGTCAGTAACGACCACAACCAAGGAAACTCCTCTGGGAGAAGCTGCCTCCTCTCGCCCGGGAGGCTGGGGAGGCACTAGCGGGGGGGAAGGCTGGGTTATTTCACTTGTCTCGGGGCTCCCCCCTACTAGTTGCCTTCCACCCTATGCAGAGCATGGTACATTTTTTTTGGAAAGAAAATGTGACTGAAAGATGCACAAGCAAGGGGCTGCCTGCCCTGCACTTTTGGGGGAGAATCTGTTTAACACTGACTTCTCCTCAGACCTTTGCTTTCCATGTTTATGCCTCTTCTCATAAAATCTAAACGGTGTATTGACTCTTTGGTCAAATTCCTTTTCTCAGCAGGCTAACAGAATAGGCAGAGTAGTTTAAGCTTTGCTGATGGAACAGCGGAGCATCATGGACCACAGTGAATGCCCACAGCCATATTTAACCTTTGGAGGTTAAGTATAATATGAAGCATTGCAGGTGAAGGATACTGTACCACAACAGTGGTTTTAACATGGCGAGAGGCAAGAGCTGCATGCTGTTACTAATGCTATACACAAGGTGCTTTTTTGGGACGGCGCACTGCAAACATGTACATTTGTTACGCTCTTTTTATTGGATTCCTATGTATATTGAAGAAAGGAGCCTAAAAGAGTTGTAAGGTATTGAATAAAGGGAAGCTGTGTTAAGTGCTGTGACATAAGGAGAAGCCTAGCAAAAGCAGAGAACAAGGCTGTCCAGCACAGCCCCCTCAGTACCACGTGTCTCATGACAGTGGTTTCGCAGGCGACAGCTCTGCTTGCATCTGTTGTTCAGATTGATTTTACTTTAATTTCCCCCGGCTAAATCATAATGTCGTGTCTTTTACATACCTCTAGGGTCAAAGAACCCTCAGAGGGAGAGTTAATATCTTTTGATTTATCCTGATTGAAGAAAAGGCTTCTTATGTAGGAGCTGGGAGCTTGTGGGCAGTCACTGAGGAGGCTCTCGGCGTCCCGCGCGCCAGGGCCGCCCGGCCCGCGCCGCGCGCTTCCCTTGGCGGGTGGGTGCCCGGGACCCAGGCTGCTGCCCTCGCTGCTCCTTTTCATCGAACGCTCATGGGGGAACGTGGAGGTGAAGGACTTCAAGAGCAGTGCTGTGGCCAGGGGGATCCCTCCGTGCCTTCTGTCCGTGGTGGGGTCTATCGGCAAACCCTGCCATAAAGCAGGTGCAAGTGTCTGAGAAGAGAGAGTCTTTATGTTGTCGTGGCGTAGAAAGCAAAGGGTTTGATGAAGCTGTTGACATGTGGGCAAAACACGGGCCTTTAAAGGAAATGTGCTCATAGATCCCATAGATGAAATTTATTTGACTTTTGTTGAGGAAATTTTCAGGAGGAAAAGCCATTCGGCTGCAGGGAAATCCAGGATTTTGCAGGGCACCAGGAAAAATTACACGACTATTTCCATGTCTGCCTAAAAGCCTGCGTAGCAAGGGCTCCGTCTGGGCGAGCCAGCGCGGGGAGCGCTTTGCAATATGTACGGAAAATGTATCTCACTGCAATTTTCTGTTTTTTTCCCTCCCTCTCCCTCCGTGTTTCTGTCTCCTCCACCCTGCCGGCCTCGCTGGCTCCCTGCACGCCGCAACCCTCCTGCCACAGCGCCTGCATTTGCCTCCAGACTTGTCAGACACCGTGAGCCGCTCGAGCAAACAGGAGCTGGCAGCAGCCGCCAAACTGCTGAGCTCAGGATGCGGCGCCGGGGCCGGCGGCAAGAAGCACCTGGACTTCTAGCGATTCCTGCCTAGCGGTTCCGCTCCGGCTTGGATGGCACTCTCATTATGAGTGTTAATGACTTATATAAATATTTTTCTTAATGATTTGACCCAGCAGTCCTTTAAAAATGCACATTGTCATATGGTGCCTTGTTTTTTCTGTTTGGGTTTTGCTTTTTGTTAATGCTTCTGTTATGCTGGGTCCTGCCACTGACCTGCTCTGTGGGAAACGTGCAGTGTTTTCTTCTTTTCCATACAACATGCACATTATTTTTTTCATTCCTACGTGTTCTGTAAAATAAAACCGAAGGGATATTTTTTCCCAACAGAGTTTTTATAGACTTCTATTTAATGTTTTGTACGAATAATAAGTTAAGTTGGACTTTGTATTGAAATAAACGAATGAAGCTAAGGAATTCATTGTCGCATGTTATTCCAAAAGCAAACTGCACATATGCTGTTTTTAAAAGCATTCATTTTGTATTTGAAATATCATTCTTAAATCTCAGAAATCATCAGCATTGTTTTATAAAATATATGATAATTATTTAAAGACATTTAAGGTGTTTTTATTCTAATATGCTGGTAATTAAGAAAGGCTGGATTTTAGTCAGGATGTATTATAGGTAATTAGTTTGCCTTATGAGTTAATTCATGTATTAAATTGCAGTTGAATGGAATTTACTAAATATAGAAAAAGAAAAGAATTGATTTCATGTCGTTGAAAACAGCCATGCTAAACAATTGAAATCAGCCCTATGAAACCATGTCAACAGCCATAACTCGCGATTGAAATTCAAGCCGACAGCTCCGCTCGCGCGGGGCAGCCCGAGGAGCGCGGCGGCGCGGGGAGGAGTGTCGCGGCGCGCGGGCTGGAGCAGGGCACCCGGCACCGCTGCTTGGCATTCCCCTACCACCGTGTGCACTGTTTGTGAGCCTGCAACTGTTCTGTACGTACCCGGGTGTATCTCTCATCCAATAAAGACTGCTGCGGATTTTTTGCGAACGTGGAGTGGGTGCTATGCAGTGCTGACCTGGAAATGAAAGGGGTTCCTGTGATTTCTTCTGTGGCTGACTTCCATTTTGCTCGCTAATCTGCGCTTCTCTCTAGCACTCCTAAGGCATCCGAGTGTGAGATTGCATTATGGTTTCAAAATTCAGGCTTTATAATAGTTTATTACATGGCTGGAGTGAAAGTGACTCTCCAAAGAGCATGTTAATGCGAAGCAATAATGTGAACTTAGCGTGATGGCTTTGGAACCAGGAGTTGGTTAAGTGCTTTGCTTTTTTTATGCAATCCAGGTTCTACTTTTTTTTTTTTTCTTGACAACACGGTGTAAAACAAAGACATGGCTTTTAAAACTGTCTAACTAATATGATGAATGTCAATCACTTAAAAAACTCCACTGTAGCATAAACACATACTGTATACAGCTTTTATTCTGAATTAGAATAATTGAATCAATGACAGTGATTTGCCAGGATGTCAAATCTATCCATCATATCCTGTCACTACCAGTTTATTTTTTGTGATCAAAATCAAAAAGACTACTATTTTGTCATCAGCTATTTCATTAGTAGTAACAATCAGGTTTTCTCTTCTGTATTTTTTAGCTATGTCTGTTATTTTTTTTATTTCTAAAGACACAAATCCTTTTTAAATCTTTTCAAAATAAAGTTTCAGAACTGAACTGTCAGTTTAATAAAGCAAAAAGACATCTACTTTCCTATGCCAATATATTTAAAATATTATCGTTGATGTCTCAAACATTTTCTTCTTTTTGTATTATGTGTAACATAGAATAGAAGTTCTCATTAGATACCTAATAGTGCCTTTTGAAAGTGTGAAATAATTTAAATACGTAGGATAAAGTGATTTTGTAACAAAGGTGAAGTTTCATACAGTTTGCATTTTTAATATAAATAATACAAAACACAGTATTTCTTTGTGAAATAGGAGGTCAAAGGGCATATAAATTGCTGCCAACATATTTAAGTAGGTCACTGGCTTAACATACAGGAGGGAAAATACTGTGGAAGTCACAGTCCATTTGCAGCCAGCCTATTAGCCGAGGCTGGTTAGCGGGTTGCGCCAGCGTTGCGCTCGTGTGTGCAATTCCCACGCATTTAAACACTTCAGCTCCCAAAACTTCACAGTCTGGAGGGTAACATTTGGGGTAATGAAGAGAACTGCTGCTGCGAACCTCGGTTAATCTTTTCCTGGCTAACGGAGAGCGCAGGCATGAGGAAGAGCTCGTCCATGACACCAGCGCCTCGCGGTTCCCCTGGAGAAGCCGCAGAAAGGATTCGATGGAGATTTTCCCTGAATTTCCCCCAGAACTGCTCCACGGCCATTGAGGTCCTGTGTGCAAACCCCGTGGGTCCTGCCTTCGGTGCAGGGTGTGACCAGCTGCGTTGGCATCTCCCGAGCACCCGTTGACTTGGGTGGAGAATCTGCACGAGGATGAGGCCCCCTTTGCTCCCGAGACAACGTTGCTCATCTTTGCTGCGCTTCCGTAGGCAGAACTTCCTGCTTCTTAGCAGGCTCCAAACCGAATCCACTGAGCCTGACAGGGAAACAAGAGCATCGTCCCCGTGTGGATGTCCCGATGCAGAGCTGGACCCGGATCCTCGCAGCACGCGACACACGGCCAAGAACACAGTAATGAACTTTAAAGCTCTGCGCCTTTAATATGACAAACAAGAATTCGTCACGTAATTTCCCTTGTGTTGGGGCTTTCGAGATGTAAGTGTTTGGAACATGAGAAGAATATTATGATAGATTAAGTCTTCTTCTATGTTTGTAAAGGAATCCAAAAAGCAATTTCAAGAATGCAGCTGAATTCAATTTTCTGTAACAGTAGCTGCAAGCATCTGAAAATAGCCATTGAACTACTTCAAATTTGATACATATGGTAGTGTGCCACTGATTTCATCTTAGAATTTAATACGAAATAGCAGTATTGCTCCAAACCCAGCTTTGGAAAAGCGCTGAAGTCTAACTGGCAAAAATCCTGAGCCGTGCCAACATTGGGAAGCAGTCTGTTCAGCAAGTATTTCTGAAACCACAAGGTTGTAACACAGCCCTGTAAAAAATGTATATATCTTACATGCATTACATGCACACTTTAAACCACTGTTTATCTGGGGTCACGTGTTGGAAGTTTAATAAAACATTCTTCTTTTTCCTGCATTGGAGAAGTGCCATCCATATCTACAGAGCATGATAAAAATAGGGAATAAATGAGTTTTATCCGTTTAAAAGATAGTGGAAGCAAATACTGTCCCCACAGGACTTCTTTTGGGGTTGATGTTTTCTGATGTTGACTATCAGAGTGCAGGACTTACTTACTTACTTACATTTCTCTGTTTTTTTATCATATTGAGTGTATGGTTGATGCTTATTCAATAATAAATGTGTCTGTGTGGAAAAAGAATAAATGCGAATCTTCATCATAAGAAAATTAAAAAAGCAACATGGAAGAAAAAACAACAACAAACCCAACCACTATTTTTTGAGTTTGCAATCTAATTTAAATAAATGTTAAAGAGGTTTTTCAAAAGAATGAGTCATTAATACTGTGGATATGTAGAGCTGTATTCCAGCAACTTAGGAGACAGGCAGATTTGCAGATGCGTTGAGCATCAAGCATCCTGGACCAGCTGCTGAAAACTCAGCTCTTATTTAAGCTTCTCTTTTAAACTATTTTGAAAGATATTGTGCATGACGAGCTAATTTGCAGACTTTTCATTTATATCAAAATACGACATCTTTTTTGCATTTTTTTTCAGTTGTATTTTTTTGTCCTGTAGAGCCAATCTAGAAAATATTGCAGAGCATCTGATCATTTAGACCAAGAACTAGCTGGTCGTATTAAGCCCAGGGGACCTTTCTAAAAATTCCCGAGCCCGGAGTTCTTCCCAGCAAGCCAAGGACTGTGAACACAGTTTCACATGTGCACCGTGAATACCTGAGCTGCAGGCGAGCGGGTAGAACTCCCTGCGACGAGGGCGGGCGGAGGAGGCAGAAGCAGCAGCGCGATGGTCGCGGGGCAGCGGCGCGGGGCAGCGCACGCTGAGGACGGCGAGCGCAGCGGTTCTGCAGTGCTGGCCTAAACGAAACGCCGTGAAGTTTTCAACTCGTCCCTGCCCAAACAAGTGTAAATCAACAGTGGGTCATGCAGAGGAGCTGACTCTGAAACCAGAAAATCATCAGGCCCAGCCAAAGCGGAGTTTGAGAGGTGCAGGGTTCAGGTTCATGGTTGTAAAGAAACACTGTTGACTGGAATATGGAGAAATTTCTCCAGAAGGATGCTAAGGAAGTTAAATGACTGAATTTTTGTTTAATCGAGCCTGACAGAGGGGAGTTTTAAACACCTGAGAGTACCTGAAGCCCCAAACTGCGGACTCCAGAGTCAGAGGGTGAAGCCAGCTTTGCAGAGACACATGCAAAGAGTTAAGAATGTCAGTGGTTACAAAGCAAAAATACAGATTTCCTTCATTTGTGACAAACTAACACGTGCACTGCAGCAACCCGAAGCAGCTGGCCTCCTGCACGTGACTCTGGACGGATCATCTTGCTGGGCCCTGCATGTGACGCCCATGGGGCACTTTTCCGAACCGTCTCAGAAGGCACCGGCGCGGGGCTCCTGCGAGGGAGGTTATCTGGGAATCTGCAGGCTCCTCTGGTACGGCTGGAAAAGCTCGAATGTCCCAGGAGAGGAGAAGCTGCGTTCACAGCCCGCACACATTTTCGCCGCTCGAGCGTACGTGAGCTTTGGCAGGTGCCTGGGGGCGAGCGCAGCCTCTGCCGGAGGATTTCCCGCAGCCTGCGGCTCCGGCCAGCCGTGGAAAGGGAGCTGGACGCCCTCGGGGGCGCCCACGAGAGCCACCGCTGCCGCGGGCCGGCGTCCCGGGCCAGGGAGCCGGTGCCGCCCTCCCAGCAAAACCTGGTCAGCCCAAAGAGAGTCCAAGGTGGTTCCTAACGCAGGGAGCACCAGGGACTTGGCTTTTCACGTGTGGGTGTTGGCAGGGCCGGGGGCTGCGCAGGCAGAAAGCGAGAGCAGGGCCAGGATTCCCTGTGCCCTCAGCGCCCGCGAGAGGCTCAGAGCCAAAGAGGCCGCACATGGCTCTGGGCTCAGCCCCTGCCGGAGCTGAGGCCAAGAGGAAAGGGAAATGAGCTGGAGGAAAATAAATACATAAATAAGGAAGACGTTTCAGTTTTTCTACTAGTGATTGCACCATAAAACACAGAGAGAAAAATAAATAAACCTTAAAACAGCTTTAAGGCGGAAAATAATACCCGGAGAAGGCAAGTTAATGTATTTCATCAGAAATATCAGCAAAGCAATAATAATTTAAAAAAAAAAAAAATCGCGAAACCCGTGGCCACGGCAGCAAAGCAAACAGGACCAGCAGCCCACCGAGGCGCCGGGAGGGGACGTGCGCAACCAGGCCCAGATTGCTCAGCACAGCACTCCAACCTGGCCCAGAAAGACAACCCACCTGTGGGTGCGTGGTGCTCCCGCCGTGGGTACAGACGTGGTTCAGGAGGAGCAGGGAGAGCCCCGGCTCCGCTCCGGGGGCTCTGCAGCCCAGGCGGGAGAGCGGCTCATGGTGCAAACACCCAGAGCTGGTGCCCGAGCGGCGCAGGGCGATCGCGGCGCGTACGTCGCCGCGCCACTGGCGCCTATGGCTCGTCAGCTGTCTGTGCCGAACAATAACTGCTGGGGTAGCAGCCTTTTCACTTGTAAATGTAAATATTGTATCTAGAACACAATATTTGAGATACAAAATACGGTGTTATTAAGACGGCGCTCACACATCAATTCTTGCGTGACTGTAATTTGTGAAATGCCTTAGGAGACGCTTATAAACCAAGTGCGAGGTGTTATTATGAAACACATTTTAGCCCGGATGCACAGAAATGTCTCGTTCCTATAGAAATCGCGAGCAGGACTCCCGCGGAGGCCGGGGCTCGGGAGGCGGCGCACGGCCATGGGGAGCGGTGCTGCGGGCGCCTCATGGCTCCGAAGGCCGCGCACCGGCACCCGGGCAGCAGAGGCTGGTCGGAGCAGAGGGGGGAACACCTTTTTTCCTCCCAGCCGCAGCCCCCCCATGCGCCCAGCGGCTCCCGCGCTGCTCCAGGGCCCCGACGTCCTCCCGGCACCCCTGGGCACAAGCAGACGGGGATTTTCCCGGCTGCCTCCAAGGCAGCGAGGCAGAAAGGTCTCCTGCTGCCAAGCGGTGCCGCGGGCCGCAGCTTGTGCTCGGCCCCACACGCGGCCTCCTCCAAAGGCCACGGAGGTGCAACATGACAGGCCCTGCTCGCCCTAACGTCCACTTCCGAAAGGCCCCGCGGGCAGGCGGGAAGGCCGGCTCCGCGCTGCTGTCCGGGCCCGCAGCTCCCGAGGGAGGCCGGCCGCGAGGCTCCCTGCTGGCCGCGGTGAAGCAGGAATCGGCAAGGAGATAACCAACTACAGTCATAGATATAAATACACTAAGTGGCTATTTGAACGCCGCATTTGTACCTATAATTAATTATCCTCAGAATCAATTCAGCTGGGCAAGGGGGGGCTTGCCTATTGCAGTGCTTAATGTGATGCAGCCATGTGATGTGCCCATCTGATAAAAATATATATACATTTTTAAAAACTCCCATTGTAATTAATATTTCCAAATTGATAGCTTCCAGGTAATTAAAACTATTTAATGGTGCTGTAATGAATATACTCGCAAGAGAGTGATATCAGTTAAAAAGAAAGATTAAAAAAAAAAAAACACTCGCTTTTTTCCTGGTTTTGCTGGCTCCAGGGCTCTGTTTTACGAGCTGTGGCGCGGTGCGCGGAGGGCGGCCCCGCTCCATCGCCAGCGGCCTTGGCGCTACGTGCGCCTCGGCCTGTCGGC